CCAACATCCAAAAAAACCCCTACCCCCCAAAAAACCCAAACAAACAACAGAAACAACAAAACAATAAGACCACCCCCCACCCCTCAAGAAGTAACTCGAGGTAACAGAATGGACCTGGCCGATGTGGTAAGACCACATATTATCATCAACACAATTGTTTTCTGAACCTACTGTCTGTTTTTCGTTTGAAGAACTCAACCTCAAATTCCTCATCGGTATCTCATTCTTTCTTCGCTGTGCCAACTTAACAGAAAATTACAGCCTTCATTTTAAGCTTGCAAATTTTGTGTCAAAGGTGGTAGAAGCTCTATGTTGAGGTAGTTGGAGCTGAGAATACGGTACATGTGGTTGGAGATGGGGCTCGGGTGTCTTGATCTTGCAGCGATCGATCAGTTACAGCTGATGGCCAAAATTCTGCTCTTCAAATATCATTATCAATTCTTTCAGAGGCTAGGGCCTGAGACTCTGAAGCCAGACATAATGTTTTCAGGAGTCGATGCATGGTCCCTGCATTGCTCGTTAAAGATGCCACATTGTAGATGGTGATGTTCTCTCCTGGATTATGGAGCAAGAAGCTGTTAGCAGCGGAATTGAAATGTGTCTTCATGGGACCAAGACAGAGTGTTATTGTTTGTGTGCCGTGGTAGGGTGGTTGTATGCACAACGTTCTTCTTGGCTACTTCAAGAAAGGGAATTGATTCTGATGGTTGTCCATTTTTAAAATTGCTTTTTTTCTCCATGCAAAGACGTGCAAAATAAGCTGAATGTTCCATCACTTTGGGGATTACTCTTGAGTTCATCCACCTATTGATAGATACTAAGCCGAGATTTTAAAACGTGTTTATTGACATTACACGATAAATGTATATGAACGCCAACATCATCACAGGCAAGAGGATAAATATTTGTTTCAATGGTACGCTCGTAGTTTCCAATGATGAAAGGGTATAGGTTTAACGCCCCTAGCAATACTGAATACTCAACACTGTTAGATTATTTAAAAGGCCGTACCTCCGAAAGGACAGAGCCAAGTGGGAAATCAGTGTAATGTGCTTTTCCCAAGGACACAACGTCGGACATAGCTGAGGCTCGAACCCCAAAAACTATAATCTCACTATTGCGAGTCCGGTAGCCTAACCACTAAAACGAGCAGAGTAAGCCTGATTCCCTGTAAAGACTTCTCTGTTGGCATCCACCCCTTGGCGCTCATATGACATTAAGCAGTTGAGAGTACCGTAAAACCTCTACTAAAGGAAATAAATAAATAACCACTAGGCTATCAACGCCACAGCATTTTCCATTATCTGTGGTTAGCACAGAGGTGGCCAAAGTCACCCCATCCGCCACGAGTCCAAATGGGCTGACTGTGGCAACCTAAGATTTGCATAATTTGCACCGTATTTCAGTCAAGAAGGGAATCAAGCGCTTATTCGACTAGATAATTTCCCCATAAACTTTTAAAGGTCTACATTATGGTATCTGATGTAAGAAATATTTCCAAGTCTTGAGTTTTGGCACGGTATGTCTTTTAATGTTTCTATTTACTGTATTTATTATCCCAAAGTGATGATTTCAGAGACGTAGTCTGGCTTTGATTAAGGAATCTTGGCCTTGACCTGTGCAGCTTTCCAAGTTAAATGAAATGAACTTTTGTTGTGGGATTTAAATGGGGTTTTTTTTTTTGGGGGGGGGGGGGTAAACTTTTTAAAAAGATGTAGGTGTCTGACGTCTCTATTGACAATCTTTAGGTTTACATAATTTGGATAATTTCGATCCTTCCTGTCAAGGTTTGGCAATTTGCTTAATTAAGGGCATGCATTTATGGCGACATCGCAGGACTTGCCAAGAGAATTCGCCGTTGGCGGAGAGATGTCGTCTCACGTCACAGTATTGGGTCTCTTGAAGAAGAACAAGGGCCTTCAAATTCTAAGGACAGCGGACAGGAAAAAAGCTGTGATGCAGGGTCAGAGAAAGTAGAAGTTTTATTAGAACCCAACAGTGACAATTTAGAAAGACTCAACAGAAAACCCTAATAGTAGAAATTTGTTTGAAACCTGTCAGTTGTAATATCATCCAGAACCTTCATTCACTGCTTTGTATAAAAACTTCAACTAGTATAAAGTTTCCTCCTTTATTCTACCGTGAAATAAATTTCATGAAGTATGCAGAAACTCCCGTTTGTTTTTAAATTAAGTTTGATTTTTTTTTTCAGTGAAAACAAACATTTCCGTTCATATATATGTGATTGTTAAGCAATAGATTTTTACCTATAGCAGAACTAGCTTACGTTGGTACTGTGAATAACCATGAAAGGAGATATTACATAATGTCAGCGCTCAATCTCATACTAGCAAAGGGTTTACTTTATTTTACTACGATAATTGATAGATTGGACAAAGTCATCCCATCGCGGGTTGGCTTTAGCCGTCATATAAATTGTCCCAATATTTAAAAAAAAATGAAATAAAGGGTAAAAGAAGATCATTCCTTCAATGCATGCCTTCTTTTCCTATGACGTTATAAAAAATTGTACTCTTTTATGTTGTTTTAAAAAGTTATCAAAGCAGGTTGCCAGTATCCCACTTTAACCGCGGACAGACGAAAGTGAACAATTCGATGGAAGGCAGAACTCAAGGGTTTCAGAGATCTTTTCTTTCCAAGACCATACCCACAATCGACAAATCACCTTCGAACAGAACTGGAGAGAATACCCAGTCAGCACACAGATAGGACGCCAGCCCCACACAATAGAGGCATTGACGCGAGAGTAATATCTCGACAACGGTTTAGTGAGGAAGTGACATCTGAGTAATACTTCTTTTTTTTGTTGGTAGGTGTTTTACGGCGCTCGCAACTGCATACGGACAGATGAGCGCGCGGGAAACATTACACATTTTCACTCAAATGGAAGGACATTTTAAATTTTGCTCGGGTGGCGACCAAAGACTACTCTTTCCGATTTTGGACCACAAAGCGATCTTTAACACGTGCAACTTGCACACGGGACCTTCAAGATTTTTCGCCCTTATCCAAGAAGGCTAGGTATTAGATCTTTCCTACCTTAAGATCAGGGATGTGGCTGAGAGACAGCAGTAAGAAGTGAGGAGACACCTAGTAACTGTACATCAGGTGTACATTGCAAGGGTTTGTTTGTTTGTTTGTTTGAGTAGAGAAAAGCATATCGACACAATAATGGCCATTTACTGCTAGAAAAAGTAAGACAGACAGACAGAAAGAACAGAGGGAAAATGAAGACGTAGGACCTACCAGTTGCACCCACCAACCACCCGCCTTTCAGGGGCGACATTACTGTTCTTATTTGTCAGTTATGTCGTCGCACACACAACCACACACACACACACACACACACACAC